TCATTAAAAAACAAAACAAAAAAAAAAAACAAAGCCAGGCATGGTGACCCACACCTTTGATCCCCAGTACTCTGGAGGCAGAAGCAGGTGGATCTCTGAGTGTTTGAGGCCAGCCAAGGCTACATAGTGAGAGGCTGTCTCAAAACCAAACCAACCAACCAACCAAACACCCCAAGCTTAAGTAAGTAAGCAAACAGTAAGTAAGTAAGTAAGTAAACAAACTCAGGGTCTGGCCTATACTAAGGCAAGTTTTTTACCACTGAATCACAGCCCTGTTCTTATCCCCCTAGCAAGTGATCAGAATCCAACCTTATAGGTAGAAAGGAAGTAAACAGGTGAGGAGAGAGCCTGGCTCCAGGATCAGAGAGAAACGGGCTTTCTCCTTGACCATGTTTGCGTCCTGTGACTCATCAGGAGACTGGAGGGAAGCGCAGTGCAGTATAAAGGTGACAAAGAAGCAATTAGGAGCAATCAGGCCTCACCTGGGTGAGCTGCATAGCAGGTGACACCAGTGCCCTCGAGCTGGGTGGCAAGCTCCCGGGCAAACAGTACATTGGCTAGTTTGCTGTCGGCATATGCCCGCAGCTCCTGTTGCCAGCCCACCACTGGGCAATCTAGACGTGTAAAGTCGAGACGACCACGCCGGTGGGCAGCTGAGGACACTACCACCACACGGCTGGGGGCACATGACTTCAGGCGGGGTAGCAACAGGTGTGTCAGCAGAAAAGGGCCAACATGGTTCACTCGCAGAAGCAGGTTAAAGGCCTCCCGAGTCCGGCCACAGGAACTGATCCCTAGGGCAGAAGCTAGGCATGAATTGCTGTTTCAGATGCCCCATGGGGCTCACAGAATCCCCAGCTGTGAGATTTGTCTGCTGGCCCCTGGTAGGGCCAAGCTGGAGGGACTACCTCTCCAGGCCACCAGCCACCCCCCCTGCAGGGCCTACAGCTTCTCACCTGCATTGTGGATAAGGATGTCCAGCCTTGGTTCAGAGCTCAGGAAAGCAGTGGCAAAGGCCTGTACTGAGGCCAGACTGGCTAAGTCCAAGGCCATGAAGATAACCTCATTGTTTCCACTCTCCTGTGGAGCAGCAAGGGCTAGGATTGTTACCAGGTACCTCCCTTCCCCCTCTTCCCAGGCACCTGAGAGCCTACCCACTAGGACTAAAACCTGCCCCAGTACATCAGTGTGTAATGGGTGTGTGGATTCAGATCTCCACTTTGCCTCTCACTAGAGTGTGACTTCAACACACACAGAGGGCCTCTGTTCTCTCACTGTAAAATGGGATAATAATAATAATAATAATACTTTCTACTGAAAAAGAAAGAGTTGTGGAGATCAAATCAGATAAGATACATATTATATCTGGTGTAGTGGCATATGTGTTATCCTAGTTACTCAGGAGTTTGAGGCAAATGGATCATGAGTTCAAGACTTGCCTGAGCTACAGAGTTAATATATGTAAAATATTCAGCCAGCCCTGTGCAGATATTGCTATTATCATCCCCCCTCTCCGTTATTTTTTACCTTAAAATCTACTACATGCAGTCTTGTGCCTGTTGAAGACAGCTTCTGCTCTGTAGCCCAGACTGCCTTGGAACTCATGAGCTTCCTTCCTCAGCCTCTTCTGCTGGGATTACAGGTGTGTTCCATGTGTACCATGAACTGTACAGACAGTTGCAACTGTCTTCTAAACAGACTTTGGTCTTCTCTTAAGCACTTTTTTTTTTTTTTTTTTGACAGGGGCTTACGATGTGGTCCTGGCTGGTCTTGAACTCACAGAAATTCACCTGTCTCTGCCTCTCAAGTGTGTGCTACTGAGACTGACCCTCTTGGTCTTGTTCTCTGCAGTCTAGGTACCACAACTGTAAGTAATTCATTCCAAAAAGCCATCGGGATGGTCCAGAGCCTACTGAGGAGTCTTCCTGGAGCACAACTGCCTTAAACTTCTCAGTGGGATCCGTAAGGGGCTCCAGAAGCTGGCCGTGGCTCAGAGCCCCTTTAGGACATTCCTCTTTTCATTCCCCGCCCCCCTCCAGTCTTCAATGAGATTCCCTTGTCTCAGGCATTTGCACTTGCTATTCTTTCTGAGCCTTTTCATTAGCCTAAACCTTCCTTCTTTGTCTTTCCTCAGCCCAGGATGGCCTTGAGCTCCTGGCCCTATGCTGGGACCACGCGTGGTCGTGGTCATTAACTCTTTCTGATCCTTAAACGTCTCAAGACTAGCGACTCCTTTCTTGAGTAAGCCTCCTCCGGGGGTGGGTGGGGGGATTTGGTGATTTGGTTCTGATGTTCCTGTAGTGCCTGCATCCTCTTCAGTGTTTAAGGGACAGTGCGGCTCTCTACTCTCGGATCTTGATTCCTCGCGTCGCTCTGCTCCGCCCTCCGTGTCCTCCTGTGGCCTCACCTGGCGGAGGTCGAAGACAGCCGCTTCCCCGCGCTCCCGGCTGCGGCAGGCCAGCACCACGCGCGCTCCCCGGCGCGCCAGCTCCAGCGCTGTCATCTTCCCGATGCCGCTGTTGGCGCCTGCGGGCGGCGGGCGGGAGCCAGCTGAGCTGGTCGGGCCGCGGCCACCCGCCCGGCCTCCCCGCCGCCCGCCCGCGCGAACTCACCCGTGACCACGGCCGTGCGGCCCCGCAGGCTGCCGATGCCGCCGCACGGTGGGGCCTTCACCAGGTTGTAGTAGACAAGCACGTAGGCGCCCAGCAGCAGCCCGGCTCCCAGGAGCAGCGTCTCCATGCCGGCTGTGCTCCGGCTCCCGCCCGGGTCTCGTCACTCCCGCCTCGGCCTCGCGAGGGCGGCGACAGGCGGAACGCTGCTGGGCAGGGGTGTGCGCGCGCGCGTGGGCCGTGCGGGCGCCCCCTAGGCGTGCGTCTGCGTGCCCTGGCGGCGTGCCTGGGCGAGCATCTTGGGGCCCTGGGAGCGCCCCCTAGGCTCGTGAACTCCCGGGAGCGCGTGCCAGGTATGTACAGGAAACATCTGAGTGAGGGCCTGGTGGGAGTGTGCATACCCATGACCTTAATTTAAGATCACTGCTCACGGTTTGGGCGTGCTTCTAGATTCTGGGCGCGCGCCAGTGTGAGATCACTGCGTAGGTGTCTGTGCCCATGGCGGGAGTCCCTCCAGGCTGTGCATGCATCTGTAGTCTCCTCCAACGCGTGTGACTGAATGAACATCTCTGTTTACTCTAGGTGTGAGTATGTAGCTCTGTGTCTCAGTCTGGAGTCCTGTGTACATGAATGGGCCTGTGTGTTTGGAGTCAGGTCCTTGATGCTTTCATCTCAATGAATCGGTTTTTTTTTTTTTGATTTTTCGAGACAGGGTTTCTCTGTAGCTTTTGTGAATCGATTCTTTTTTCTTTCTTTCTTTTTTCTTTTCTTTTTTTTTGAGACAGGGTTTCTCTGCGCAGCCTTGGCTATTGGCTATCCTGGAACTCTCCGTAGACCAGGCTGGTCTTGAACTCAGAGATCTGCCTGCCTCTGCCTCTGGAAGTGTTGGGATTAAAGGTGTGTGCCACGACTGCCTGGCCTCAATGAACCGATTCTTTAATTTCTCATCCTTTCATCATCTAGCCTTCAGCATCTAGGTACAGGCCATTGAGGCTTTTCTGCAAGGAACTGACAGGGTTGTCGGGATTCAACTATGTGACTTTTTTTTTTAATATTTATTTATTATGTATACAATATTCTGTGTGTATGTCTGCAGGCCAGAAGAGGGCACCAGACCTTATTACAGATGGTTGTGAGCCACCATGTGGTTGCTGGGAATTGAACTCAGGACCTTTGGAAGAGCAGCCAGTGCTCTTAACCACTGAGCCATCTCTCCAGCCCAACTATGTGACTTCTTGACTATGACTCCACCACTTTCTCGGTTTTTGAAGTGGTTTCACTAGGTAGCCCAGGCTGGTCTTAAACTCGAGATCCTCCTGCCTCAACCTCCAAAATGGTGATTACAGGTATGCTCCTCCATCTCTACCCCTGCCTTCCGAAAGGAAGAAGCAGTGAAAAATTAGGGGGTAATTTGTGTCTGGAACAATTTTCACAAGTGGCAGAAACAGACACTCGATTACTCAGGTGAAGGAGTGACTGAGGGTAAGATGGGCAGGACAGCTAAGGAGATGTGGCTTTAGGCACTCGTGGCAGGACCTTGCCTAGGACAGTGACTTGACAATCATGACATGCCTAGCACTGTGGATACTATTGACACTGAGCAAAATACAAAGCTTCTGCCTTTAGGGGTTGAAGTCCTTCCTGCAGCGGAAGTAGAATGGCCCAGTTAAAACTATACTTGTATTTTGGAGCATGGTCAGATTTGAGACCAGATGAAACTCCCTATTTAACTGCGCAGTGTACTTGGAGCACATCTGTAGATGCTATGGATGGAAAACTCCTCGAACCCCACCAGTAGACTAATACATGAACAGGTACCACTTAGAATATCGCCAGAAGTCTTCTAGGAGACTGTGCTCAGGAGGAACTTCCACCTTGGATGATGCAGAGTAATTTCTGATGAGAACAGCAGTAAAGTCATTAGATCTACACAAAAAGAGTCTCAGTCTAGAGAAGCAAGCAGTTCTCAACCTGTGGGTCGAGATCCCTGTAGTGTGTGTGGAGGACTGGGCATATCAGATATTTACATTACAATTCATAACAATAGCAAAATTAGCTACCAATGAAATAATTTCATGGAGTGTTACCACGATATAAGGAATTGTGTTAAAGGGTCGCAGCATTAGGAAGGCTGAGAACCACTGCTCTAGAGAATGGATTTTACCGTATTAACACTTCTCCAGAGAAACAGCACCCCTAAAAGCTAAGTGCCCACCTTTCCGTTTCCCTCATCCAGCTGAGGCTCACTCTTCTAACATTTTCCCTCTCTACCAAGCTTCCCTTGGAGGCTACCTGAGAGTGATAATTGTTCAAAGGGTACAAAAAAGGAGATCCCAGGGAAGGTCCCCTCTAGGGGTGATGACAGGCAGGACAGACAGGCAGAAAACATAATTTGAAGTATTTTTGGTTTTTTATATACAGAATACAGGAAAGTTTCTGTAAAGTCTAAAACATTACAATTACTATGTACATTGGTACTAGTCGTGGAGAAGAAGGAAGGAGCTGGGGTGAGGAGGAAGAGTGGCAAGAGAACAAAAAAAGGACACAGAACAGGTTTACGACAAAAACGCCTTTGCTACAATAGACATTGGAGAAAAACACTACCACATGTACTGTACAGTTCTTAAAAACACTGAAAAAATGTCATCACTAGATGTATTTACACAAAATCCAAATACACTTTTCCTTATTTGAAATAAAATAGATGGACAGCCAGAAAAAGAATTCATTCCTCATTTGTCCATATACACAGTAGCTACCTGTAGTGCAACCGCTGCAGAAAGGGAGAGTAACTTGTAGGGTGGGAACCATGGAAAGGGGTGGGTAGCGATCTTTATATTAAATAAAACAATGATATTGTATAGATTTTGCTGTATGAAAACTGTATTTTTTCTTTTAATATAAAACTATTGTCACTGCCACAAAATAGAACAAGTTTCTGATTATTTTACAACAGCGGGCAGGTGGTCGGGGGGAGGGAGCAGAAGGCGGGGGAGGGGTGTGCTGGAAGTGTCCAACCAGGGTCTCCCCTCCCTGCCCCCGCTGTTCCTCAGCTCGGGTCTGCCGCTTTCCCATGAAATGTTGAGTACAAATATATGTGCAAATGCCCCCTAGAACTTGAGAAAAGAAAAAAGTCTTAAAAAACAGTCAAAAGGTTTTCTTCATTTCATGCAAAGATTGTAGTTGAAGGGTTTCTGGTATAGAAAACACCGGGCTTGGTTCGTGTACATTTTTGCATTGCAGGAGTCTTGGGTGTCCAGGCCAATGGCCTAGGGAACGGAGTTGGAGCGCAGCACAGGGCCCTGATGGGGCTTGAGAGACAGCTTCTCGGCCAAAGCCCCATCCTGCAGCAGGCTGGCATCGCCTTTGGGCTGTTTGGTCGCAAACTCAGTGATGCTGAAGACGAACTGTAGGCAGCCCAGCTTGATGTAGCTGCCATGGTGCAGTAAGGCTGTGCCCTCCCAGCCGGCCCCACTGCCCCCGATCAAGCTTGAGCTGCTGGCTTTGCAACTGCAGGGTCTGCGCTGTGGCCCCTGGGCCTGGGAACTCATCATGGCTGCCTCCTCACTTGGCTCTTCATCCTGTTTCTGGTTTCGGCGGCGCCCTGGGAAAAAGGGGGATGATCATAGGAGGGGAACAGTGAACAGCTGACCTATCTGGGCTGATTGGCAGGACTGGGCCCCTGCATCTCCCCACTCTATATGCTACACGAGCTGAGGAATGCTCAGTGGAGTCTCGAGTCCCCAGGAAGGTCTGACACATATGTGGGTGTTCAGCACTTGATTCTTGGTGACCGTTCCCAGGCCCACCAACAATGAGCTTGGCCAATGGGACTGGGAAGGCAAAGAACTGTAGGTCATTGACAGCATGGCAGAGCCAAGGTGACCGGGGCCTTAGCTGTGTGGTCACAGGTCTCTGCTCCAACTTACTGATGACACTCTGCACTTTGGCAACAATACTGCTTGGGGGGGTTGGCGGGGTCTTCTCAGAGAAGTCACATGAATACAGCACATTGTCCACCGTTGTCCCGTGCTCACTGTAGTTTAACAGCTCATAATGTTTGGTATTCTGGAGGAGGGGGAAGACACGATGTGTGGTTGCTGTGTGAAGCCTTGGGCGAAGGAGAGAGGACATAGAGCTTGCTGCTCTCTACCTGGCAAGCTCTCATACTCTTCCTCAGTTACAGCCTGGTTGTAGAATTCAAGACTCACCTACTCACTCCATGTCCCCACTCTCTCTGCTCTGAAGCACTACCCTCCCTGTTGACTTGCTATCAACTGGCATATAGTTATGATGAAATTCAGGGGCACATCCTATTTTGGTTCCTTTCCCTGCTTTGAGGTGGCCTCCCTCAGCTGTTCCTGTGAGCAACGTTAGTTGCAATGATAGCTTGTTCCTGTAAACAGGTTGCCATGCCCTTGTCTTTCCTCCAAGACAAACAGGAGGAGAGAAGAGGTTGCTCACTCTTGCCCCTTACCCAGAGCCCAATGCTAGGGAAAGATCTCAAGTTGGGAAAGCTCCCTCCCACCCATCTTTGCCCCTCACCTCATCGTAGAATATGCAGGCATGTTTCCCGGACACGTAGTTACAGTGACCATAGTTTGTAAGGCACACATCCATGTCAGCTCCTGCAAGGTGGCAGGAGTCAAGGAAAAGGCAGAGAATAGACTGTAAGGTGTATGTGTGGGGGAAGTGAAAGAGAAGGGAGTTAGCTTCTGGGTGGCCGCTAGTAGAAACCTCGAGGTAGCTTAAAAGCCCTCTTTTCTTTCATTTTTTTTCCTTTTCTATTCTTTTCCTCTTAATGATAGGTTAGCTTGGAACTCATGACCTCTTTGCCTCTGTTTCCTAAGTCCTGGGGTTACAGATGTGTGTCACATGCCCAGCACTTCCCTGTTGTTCTAAAGCTAATCTGCTGTAGGATGTGTGGCTGTTATCCAAAAGGAGCAGTGAGTTACTAAGAAGGATGGGGCATCTAAGTGGACACAACAGGGCCTTTAAGCCATACTACTTCGAAGGGCAGTTTCCAGGGTAAGGAGTGATCTGGGGTGTGGTGGGCTACTCCTGTAGTTTTAGAACTTGAGAGGCTGAGGCAAGAGGGCAGACCCGACTTCAAGGCCAGCATGGACCACAGGAGACCCTACCTTAAATCAGCAACAGGGTTATGGGTGAGCCTGTCACACCCAGGGATAGAAAGTGTCCTCTTTTTGAAGTCTTTCCCTACAGTGTTTCAGATGCTACTGAGCAGCAGTTAAAGCAAAAGGCCTGAGCCAAGAAAGTACCCCACTGGACTGTCTAGGTTCCTAGCCTCTCTTGTCTGGACAACCACTGCTGAGACCCATCAACTCCTGAAAGGGCTTCTGTAAGTGTCCATCAGGCTGAAGATCCAGTGCCCCTCCCAGTTTCCTGGCTGGCTCACCTGTCCCGATGTAGAGGGTTCGATAGCACATGTTCACAGCTCCTCCCAACCCTAAGAGGGGGTAGAACACAGCTCGGGCCTGTACCTCCTTTCTTTGCACTACAAGACAAACATAGGGATAGGATCATTCAGAAACTCAGAACCTGTGACCCAAACATAAACCAACAAAATCTGGATCTTTTGCTGATGGCCTGGAAAAAATCTACTGTGTAACTCGTGCACAAACTCACACCTGACCTAGAGCTGCTTCGGGGGAGGGCTCTGCCTCACCCACATCTCTAACACAGGTTAGGAAGGATCTTCTTTGAAACGGTCAGGACTTTAAGTTCCTGGGGTCCCGATAAGGAACTAACAGGGACATTCCAACCGATGACAAAGAGAACATGGAAAAACATAAGGCATAGGCCAGTGTTTCTCAAGCTTTAATGAGCACATCAACTGCCCATGAATTCTGTTGAAAGATATAATTTAATTGTACAGTATTTGTTCAGTAAAAGTCAATGGATCTGATCGCTAAAACCACAATCACCATTAATCCACCCACCAACAAAACTGATTTTGGATTTAGTTGGAGTAGGAGGATCTAGAAATTGCAAATTTGCACTTTGTGCATGCCTATGCACACACACGTGATCACACATATATGAATAAACAACCTTTGGCGCTGCCGCTCATACTCCTTTCTTTTTTCCTTTAGGCGACAGGATCCCTCGCTGGCCTAGAATTTGAGAAGCAGACTAGAGTGGACAGCTAGTGAGTCCCAGGGATCGTCCGTCTGCACTTGCTCAGCTCTGAGATTATAAGCATGCACCTTCATACCTGGCTTTTTATATGTGGGTTCTAGGGAGCAAATTCAGGTCTCTCTGCCAACTGAGCTATCCCACTGTCTCTAGAATATGTATTTGTAATAAGCTCTTGGGATTCTGATAGTACTGGCATGGTACTGTAAGTTCCTGAAGCATCAAGGCTCTCTCTTAAGGGCTAAGAGCTGAGATAGAATTAAAGTAGCTCAAAGCAGAATGAACATTTGAGATGAATTTCCAGGAGGCTTACCTACTGTTTTTCTATTTCTCACCCTGATCCTTGGGAAATCCTTCTTCTAATTACAGTATAAAAAGTAACTGAACAGAAAGCATACAACATATGCCCCAAAGTACTGGTAGCTGCTTTGCTGTGAATCAAAGTGGACCCGTGTGAAAGAAGGTTATGGCAAACTCCCCAAGTCTGATCAGAAAGTTGTTAATCATCTTGTTCATGCTGAGAAAAAAAGTCACGGTACTTTATTAAACCCATCGTAGGTACAAAGAGTTTGAGCTACTGAAAGCGGAGATTCTCCATGGAGCAAGGTGGTTATACACACACATCAGACAGGAGATCTGATGGTGTGGTGGCAGGTATGTGCACGCGCACCTTCTGTGTGGTGCCCTCCGGAAGTCAGCGGATGTGTCCCAACACTGCCCGGTGAAGCTTGGACCCGGGAGGGGAAAAGCTGATGTATTCTCTGCAAGGCCAGAAACTTGATCAGCTTCTCATCCAACATATTTATCTCGATTTCTAACAACCAAAGAGAAAGATCAAAAAAGCTAAGAAATGGAATATGGAAGTAGATAAAGGTTATAGGGCAAACCAGCAAACTTTTGTTCAAACAATATAAAGCCCAAAGTGGAACAAAGATCTGAAAGTGGGCATCTTGCATGCTATTTACAGTGTGTGTGTGTGTGTGTGTGTGGGGGGGGTTTAGTGCGGTGGTTTCTTGTAGAAAGGTAGGCTAATTTTAAGTAAATAAAGGGCAGAACCAAAAACTCCCAGTTGCCTGTGAGGCAAGGTCTACCCACTCTCTGTGCAGAGAAATTCATCTCTTTTTCTCTTTGACTTTGGGGTTTTCTACAGATGAAAGCAAGCTCCGGGTTCTGCTCTGCTAACACCGAGCGACCTGCCTAATGTGATTCTGTTCTTTCCCACTGGTTCAGCTTGGCTTGTTCTCCTTTTCTTCATCTTTGATTATATTTTGCATAAATCCAGAAGGCAGACAAGAGATGGAACCTTCTTTCCCACTCTTCTACCCAAATGGATACCGTGCATCCCCATCTCCTTATCCCTCTTCAAAAGGAGCTGAACACTATACTCACCTCCATTGACATCCATAAATGCTCGAAGTGAGTTGGTGAGGTCCACCATGGCAGTAGAGTTGGCTGGGAAAGAGGGTACGGTTAAAGCGCTTCCTATGGATAACGTGCCGGGGCTGACCTTGCCATCTGGGGACGGAGCAGGAAGACTGTTACTTACGTCGCCTGAGGGAAACCCACCGGTCCAATCCCCCATTGCTGAGACAGTTCTGGATTTCGGACCCAAGGTGATGTTCCCTTCTTGATTCTCAACCCATAGGCTCTGGAACTCCTAGAGCTAAAAACGTGTGGTGAGGAAGGGTAGATGGAACAGTAACACACCCGGGCCGCAGGAGTTTCCAGAGCACTGACAACTGCTGCAGGGTTACTATTCTGGGGCAAGCGGTGAGCTTGCTTTATTCTCTGGGTCACGACCACCCAACCTTGCTACCTCTACTCTTAACATGGCACCTGTCCCTGCAATTCCTGACTGCTCAACTACAACTGAGAGTTTGCAAAATTTACTCACACTGTCATTACAGAGTAGGAGATAGGGCCAGGGGCTCACACGTGAAGAAATCTCCTGACTGACTATGAGGATGACTTCAGATCATGTGGGGGGACCATACAGGTGACAATAGCATGTGAAACCTGGTTCAGATGCTGGGATCAGCAACCTTGAGGTCCAGAAACTGGCAGGAACAGCTGAGAGAACAAGTCTGTGCTGGACTAAGTACAGACCTAAGGGATTTTCTTTAGGCATATGGTTGAGGGCAAGCTTCTGGGCCAGACCTGAAGCTGGGCTGCTTTCTGTCCCTGCTTCTTGAACATAAATGTTTCTCAAATGAGTTGGCTCAAAATTTGCATCAGGTATGGATTTAGTCTTGCATACCCTGAACCTCAGACTGACCCAAGTGGTTCCAATAGCATGTGCCTTCTGAAGTGATGGACCAGACAGACAGAAGACTAGGTCCAGAGGTGAAGGGGCAGGTGACCCAAGCTGTAGTTCCAGTATTGCCATTAATCTGGCAGGCTACCCCAAGGAAGTGACTTAAATTATTGAGTATAGCCCCATCTTATAGTTGGGACAAGCCAACACAGCCTTTTTCCTGCCATAGAAACAAAGGGAAGAATGATCACTGATACAGAGATTGAAGTCCTCAAGTATTCAAAGGGATGCTATGTTTTGGACTCTTAAGTCTATGTGCTAGAAAGAACACAGATTGTTCCTGATCATCTGGGGCTGAGAAATACTCACCTGATGATGGCGCTGGTGAGCAGAATCGTTGGTTGGCCCCTGTGGCCAAGATACTGTCTCCTGCAGCTTGTGGGGGAGTGAGCACCCGGGTGGCATTTGGGGGTGAGCCCAGAGACCTCGAATCTGTCAACGAAGGTCCTATCTGTGATTGGACAGTCTTTCTATGCAAAGTGCTGGTGTTCTCGATGCTGGCACAAGAGCTGGGGATGGAAGGGGGCAGGCTTGGGACAGGTACCAAACTCCTCTGGGGACAAGAGCTGGGGCCAGTGGCATTTTCTGTCTTCACAATGATGCCGACGGTGTGGTTCTGAAGCCCCCCAGCCGATGGTGGTGTGAGGGGCCGGGGCCAGCCTTGCCGGTGTGTGAGGCCTGGTAAGGGGGTGTTGGCGCCAGGAAGTCGCCGGGGATCCGTGGAATCAGTGGGGCTGCTGTAGAGGTGTGGGCCATTGGCTTTTACCTCTGTGTTCACTGGCCCATTGGCAGTCCCACAAGGGGTTTTCTTGGACTTTTCCACACAAGAACTGCAGCCGATGTCCTCTAGGGCCGGGGCTTGGTGGGGTGGAGAGCAGCCCAGAGAATTCTGGGTGCTAACTGCTGAGGGGCAGGACAAAGGGTAGTGGGAAGGTAGAGGTGCCTTGTCAGCGGTTTGCAAGGAGGTGGTGATTGAGCTGTCAGTCACAATAACAGGCTTAATATCAGCCTTCTCTGTCTGTTCAGAGTCCCAATGCGAAGGCATCTGCTTAGCAGATAAATGTTTCAATATGCTGCACTGGAGCGCAACAACACTACAGAGCCACTGCAATGGAAGGAGAGGAGAGGAGTGAGAGGCCTGGGAGGTGTTGTCTATCCTGCCAGTGTCCAGAGCTACAGCAGAGTTGACAAGCACTGTTACCAAGGTTCCAACAAGAATGACCAGAAAGGGATCCCACTTTCATTCCCAAGAAAGACTTATGTAGGCACTTGGCAGTACTACCTCAGTCGGTGGAACTTGAGGTTCCCGTTCTGGCTCTGCCCTGAAGGCTCACTTGTGATCAACATTCAGCAAGTACCCCAGTATGTGCTGTGTGTCTGGCAGGATCACCCAACCTCTCTGTGGATCTGCTCATTTACTCCTTCAGTACAGAACTGCCCAGCTTGAAGAAACGGGGAACTAATGAGGGAAGCAGCCTGTTTGACTGAAGTTCTCTTGCCTTTGGCATCTGAGCCTGGGATTCTCCATGGCCACTCAACTTTTAGGGGCTAAGGTGGAGATAGGGTAGAGGCAGGAATGACAGACATCTGGTGACATAGAAGAGAGACTGAACTTGGGAATCCCAATTCTGCTTTCACTCACCTCTTGCTGCTCTGCCTGGGTGGCTAAGTGCTCAGAGTTCAAAAGGTGCGTCTGTGACTCCTCAGGGATCCCATTGCAGATCAGCTCCCCATCCCGAATGGCCGCAGGTGCAATGAGAGGGGGTGGGAACTGGTACTGAGATTTTATAGCATCAGGAACCTGGTTAAGATAGGAGGAAAGATAGTGCCAATATGCTCAAGCTGAATTCTGCCCTAACTAGATACTATTTCATCTGTAGTGCTGGTACCCAAGGGACCATCTACTCTGTGATCTACTGTGGACCACGAAGCCCAGTGTGCTGCAACTGTTTTGGGTTGCCCTTTGACTCTCGCACAGATATCTTGTCCTAAAAAAGGGCAGAAATAGCAACAAAAGGCAGGGCTTTCATTGTTCTTCTTTAAGGTCCAAGGTCTTGCAGAGCTCTAAAGCTACCACATACTATCTTCTGTTTTGTCTCAAACATGCAAGACTGACACTGTATTGGGCTTCAGGGTTGTCCAAGTTGTAGGTTTGTAGTATCTAGTGCCAATAGGCAGGAATGATAGTAATGAAGTTAAATGAGGTTATATTCATGGGAGAAAAATTAAGCATGACACCCGACTAATGAGCATTTAATCAATGTTAGTTTGCATCATCCACTCATTCATGACTCATGATACAAGTGAAGATTTTTTGTTGCGCAAAGAAAAATGACACACTCTGATTTACATTATATAAGAATGAAGAGTCACACAAAAAGTCATTCATACATTCAGTCAACATTATTGAGTGCCTCGCGAGTCTGGCACTGTTCCAAAATCCTAGAGGTCCAGAGATAAATATAAAATTTAAGCCTTGCCCTCAAGGAACTCATAGTCTAGTGGGGCTAATATAGAAATGTTATTTATAATACAAGGAAATGCATCCTAGAGTAGAGGGACATCTAAGATGCTATTAAAAAGAAAAAATGAGCTAGGTGTGGTGGCACACATCTTTTAATCCCAACACCCAAGAAGCAGGGACAGGCAGATCTCTGTGAGTTGGAGCCCAACCCGGACCATGCAATCCACAAACAAAAAGCTACGTGTGAGAATGGTCGGTAAAGATGAGCACAGAGGCAAGGAGCATGGAGCTGAGAACCACCACCTAGTGTTATAGGTTTTCTGATGCAACAGAGGACAGAATGCAGCTGCCCCTGCAGAAGATCTAACAAGGTATCAGGTGACAGGTTTCCTCTGCACTCCTATTATCACAGGACCACTGTCCTATGGCGCTGCAGTCTTCATTTCCTAGTCAAACTCTCCAAGAACAAACTATTCTTCTTCTTCTTTTTTTTTTAAAATTTTGGTTGTTTCGAGACAGGGTTTCTCAGTAGCTTTGGAGCCTGTCCTGGAGGAACTCAGGCTGTAGACCAGGTTGGCCTTGAACCCACAGATCCGCCTGCCTCTGCCTGGGATTAAAGGTGTGTGCCGCCACCACCTGAAGAAGAAACTATTCTTCAGGCAGTTTATAACTCTGATTTCCTCCTCAACAATAAGAAAAATATTTAGAGGAAAGTCAATGAAAAGATTTATTCAAGGCCTTCTAATTTGTTCACTGTAGAATCTGGGCAGACTTCTAAATCTACATGGTAAATGAATTATAATTTGGATTACTTTTAGATCTATTTAACTAGAGGTATGAGGCCTACCACCTCATATCCTATTCCTGTAATGACAAACACTTTAATTTGAGAAAACCATCCTACTGAAGGATAAGTTGTTAGTTACCCAGTTAAGAGTTTGCTGTACAATTTTCAACAGTTAAGTATCCTTGCTAGTTCTGAAATGACACCCACTAAATGGGATGGGAATAGTGTGATTGAGGTTAAAACATGGCTGCCACCAAGTGGCCATATTTGAGAACTGCTAATGGATATATAGCATGTTAAACATTCAGATCAACTGAATTAGGAGATTGAATACTTTGAAAACAGCAAGAATTTTTCAATGAAGGAAATTCTCTCAGGCTCTTTGGATATATATAGCTTAGCAAGCATCAAGTACATAGAAATACTGGGTACCAAAACTGTAGTTGTCTTAGTTGATATATTAGTCTAAAAACAGATCCAGAGGTAGAAGAACCTTCTCTCAAACACATTTTTCTTAAATTTTCAGTTGGATATCTCTCTTTATCTCCTGCATGGCTGTCTGCCAAATTAATCACAACTTCATCTCATCAGAATTTCTCAGAAGGGGACCATTTAATAGTGACAGACACAGTTAAGTATTAGGCTGGCTTGTTTTATGGTAACTTATATGTCAGAATCATTGGTGAAAAAGGAACATCAATGCCAGGTGGTGATGGTGCACGCCTTTAATTCCAGCACTTGGGAGGCAGAGGCAGACAAATCCTGGGGTGGTAGGCATGGGGGCTGTAAGAAGTATGCAAAATAAACCAGGTAGTAAGCAGCCTTTCTCCATGGCCTGTGCATATCTTTTGCTTTCAATTTCCTGCTCTGATCTCCCTCAGCATGAAGTGCGACCTGAGAGTGTTAAGCTGAAATAAATGTCCCCCCACCTGTAAAGTTAACTACAGTCATGGCACTTTATCACAGCAACAGAAACTCTAAGACAGATGTTACATGTGACAGTGGAGTACAACTGGGCTTGGTGAGATGGGCTGAAGGCTGCTCATCGTTTGGAGAGCTATAAATGGATTTCAAAACCATACCTGGAATCTTGCCTTTGTAATCATGACTACCATCCTCAAGATATCACTATGCATTTATTATTTGCTGAGATACCAAAGATGTATCTGTGGGGCTTCAGTCTCCCACTGATCCTGTGCCGTGAGAGAAACCAGTGCCCAACGTCTTGCTTGTTCTGACTGGGCCGTGACTCACCTTCAAGCTTCTTCTTCTGACAGACTGGAGCACACGGCGGTTAGGGGGGTGCTTCTTATGGATTCGGTTCAGGAAATCCACTTTGACAACATGCTGTGAAATGGTGTCCTGGAAACGATCAAACACCTGGCACCGATTGCTCAGTGTCAGATTCTTCTGGTTCAGCTAGGGACAAGCAGAAATACCACTGTGGTGAATTTCTAAGGGTACTGCCCCTTCCAGCTGGCCCTATTCTCTGGGCTTAAAAAACAGAAACTCGCCAGGCGGTGGTGGCGCACGCCTGTAATTCCAGCACTCGGGAGGCAGAGGCAGGCGGATCTCTGTGAGTTCGAGACCAGCCTGGTCTACAGAGCTAGTTCCAGGACAGGCTCCAAAACCACAGAGAAACCTTGTCTCGAAAAAACCAAAAAAAAAAAAAAAAACAGAAACTCTTGCTGGGCAGTGGTAGCACACACCTTTAATCCCAGTACTTAGGAGGCAGAGGTAGGCAGATCTCTGTGGAGTGTGAGGCCAGCCTGGTCTACAAAGCGAGTTCCAGGACAGCCAGGACGGTTATACAGAGAAACTCTGTCTTGAACCCCCCTCCCCAAAACAACCAACAAGCAAAGAGAAAAAAAAAATCAAAACCAAACAAATAAAAAACCAAAACAAAACAGTAAATGGGTTCCTTCTGTCTGGTCAGAGGCCTGTAATGGGGCAGGAGACTCCTGCTCCCTGGAAAGGCTTTTGGGAGTTAGGAAAACAGTCAAGTAGCCCGGAAGTGCCCCTAATTCAGCCAGACTATAGGTCAGGACAACCCATCAGGTTCAATCCTAGCAGGCCTTGGCCCTCAAGAGAGCCAAAGAAGCAGACTCCCTACCCATCAAGGAACCGTTCTTACAGAAAAACTGTCCTACGTAGAGGCCTTGCAGGGTCAAAATCCCATTCCTGCTCCAGGGTACCAGCAAGCATTACCAAACTCATCTCAGTTCAGATATTACATCTTCCCTTGTGGAAGGGAAACCTCTGGTCTGCTCTTAAAGGTCAAAGGGAGAGAAGGGGAGGAACTTGTGCAGGTGCTGACAGAAGGCATGGAGAACCTGTGCCACTTCTAACCTCTAGTATATCTGACCCCTACACTCTAGTTCAAATGACAGGATCTGGATGACAAGAGACGGCTTAGGGGTTAAGAAAAACTATCATGACCACTGGCAAGATTGTTTTGTTGTTGCTGCGGCATTCACTTTCATCCATTCAACAACTCACTGAGAACCTAGGATGTGCCAACACAAGGGAGTTACAAAGAACTAATGCAAGAGCAGGGCACAAAGTCATTTAATGGTTGGGCCACGTGTATTCCTAACAGCCAATTATTTATTCTCTTAAGGTTGGCTCTAATAAACTCACTCTTTAGGGCGATAACAGTATTTCTTTAATTCTTTTTTTTTTTAAACATTTTATTTATTTATTATGTATACAATATTCTGTCTGTGTGTATGTCTGCAGGCCAGAAGAGGGCACCAGACCTCATTACGGATGGTTGTGAGCCACCATGTGGTTGCTGGGAATTGAACTCAGAACCTTTGGAAGAGCAGGCAATGCTCTTAACCACTGAGCCATCTCTCCAGCCCCTATTTCTTTAATTCTTGTGGGGTAAAAATGACAAGCAAGCAAATCAAGCTGCACAGCCTCAACAAGATCCATGGGAAGGCAAGAGGCACAGGTGAGATCCATGAGAGCAGACCTGACTGAGGTCTGCTGAAACCAGTGAACTCCCGCACAATGCTGACTCTAGTGCGCTTTCTCGGGCCGGTGCCTGCCCCAGCCGGGCCTGTACAGAGTGAACTAGACACGCCATGCTTACCACCACATGCTCGATGTGATTCGGACACATCCATCTGCCCAGGGGCATGGCAGTGAGCGGCGGCTCGAGGCAGTCCATGTGAAACAGAAGTGGGCAATAGTCACACTGGATTAGAGGGGCTACTCGACAACTCCTGCAAAGGAATGAGATATGATAGGTGATTTCTGTGGCATGATGGGAAAATTAAAGACTAACTCACAGCTTCTTCCATACCTCCCTCCCTCCAGGGTTCTGTCACATAACCACTCAGTAAGGAAGATGGAAACCAGGGTCTTCAGTATTTTATCTTCTAGAAAAAAAATGCATCTTGTGAATGTAAATGTTTATTTGGAGGATGGCTAATGTGGCTATCAGAGCAAGGATGACCAATGCTTAGTACTCATCTCTGCTTTCTGATCTTCCTATTTTTAAGAAATTCTCACTCAAAACAAACAAACAAACAAACAAACAAACAAACAAAAAACCCTTAGATGCTGGTTTAATTGCCCAGTGGTACAAGCAGACAGCTGCCAAGCTTGACTACCAGAGTTCAATTCATAGAACCCATTGCTAAATGGGAGAATCAAGTCTTTCAAGTTGACATCTTCACAGATACATTGTGGCACATGTTCATCTTACCCTCAAAAAGCAAATGTAATAAAAATCATTAGCAGTCTTTTTGGAGTTGTAACTACACGACAAAAGATTTCCCTTCTGTGTGAAAAGACCAATAACCAGTACTGATAATTGGAGATGGAGGCAAGAAAATTATGTTGCATATATTTATGGAAGCACGCTTCAAGGAGAGGCAAATACTCACAACCCCAAAGGTATACTAGAGACAAAGCTTTTCCCAGCAGAGTTCTGAAGTTGCTCTTCTTCTATTTACTTGTTTATTTTTGGATTTTTGAGACAGGGTTTCTGTTAGGACTGGCTGTCCTAGAACTCATTCTGTAGACCAGGTTGGCTTTGAACACAAGAGATCTGCTTGCCTCTGCCTCCAAGTGCTGGGATTAAAGGCACACAGCAAAACAACCGCCAAGTTCTATACTTCTAATTGACTACCATCTAGTTTTCCATAGCTTTTATTATGAACACTTTGTTGTTAGGGGTGTGGCTATGAAACAGTCTCATGTAGCCTGAACTCACTGGTTAGCTAAGAATGATTCTCAATTCTTGTTCCTCTTGCATCTAAGACCCAAGTGCTGATATATCAGTTTGCACCATCACTTTGGGTTTATGTAACGCCGGGTATCAAACCATGTCGGGTAAACACTATACTAACTGTGCTATATCCTCAGCCCCCAAACATCCTTTGTGATAGCCATTTTCTCCTGCTATCCTGCTCCAACCATAACAGTTTTTCTGACATAACTCAAGCCAACAAATCCAGCTTCAATCATTGAAACATCTGGTTCCTGTGACTGAGGAGAGCCTCTCTTGAAGGAAACTAAGTGTCCCAGGGTAGCTGTGTGACTTAGGTAGCCAAAGACCTTTTGAAATTTGTCTAGTCCAAAACATACCAACCACCACTTTAAAATTTATCTTATCTTTAATAATTTGCTGGCTAGCCTAAACACCCCATTTAGGTTTAAAAAAAAAAAAAGCATTTTGTGTGCATTGGAAGGAAAGCCCATGTGCCAGTGTTCATCCAGGGCCCTCAGGATGGATCTTAGGTGCCAGGCTTGGCATTAAGCACCTTAACCCAATGAGCCATCTTTTTTTAAAAAAATATTTATTATGTATATAATATTCTGTCTACATGTATGCCTGCAGGCCAGAAGAGGGCACCAGACCTCATTAGAGATGGTTGTGAGCCACCATGTGGTTGCTGGGAATTGAACTCAGGACCTCCGGAAGAGCAGGCAATGCTCTTAACCACTGAGCCATCTCTCCAGCCCCCCAATGAGCCATCTTATCAGCTCTTCATGCTCCAGTTTAAGTTCAATTCTAACTCCTCCGAAGTTGTTACCAACTTAACACTACTTCTGTACTGTGATCTGTCATCTTTCTTTCTTTTTTATTTTTTTTTGAGACAGGGTTCCTTTGGAGCCTGTCCTGGAACTAGCTCTTGTAGACCAGGCTGGCCTTGAACTCACAGAGATCCACCTGCCTCTGCCTCCCAAGTGGTGGGACTAAAGGCCTGCACCACCAATGCCTGGCGATTTTTCTTTATTGAGACAGGGTTTCATTATATAGCTCAGGATAGCCTGGAGCTCACTAAGTAGACCAGGCTGGCCTTGAACTCATAGTCATTTGTCTGCCTTTGTCTCTGGGATCAAAGGTGTGTGCTACCACACCTGCTTCTTTTGATTGTCTAGACTTGTGATAGTCTCATAATAAATTTTAAACATATACCGCCCCCCCCCACTTCCCAACAAGTCCCTCTGAGTTTCATCTCTTTTAAGCTCATTTTTACTTTTTTTATTTTTAATTTTTTTGGTTTTTCAAGATAGAGGGGTTCTCTGTGTAATTCTGGAACTAGCTCTTACAGACCAGGCTGGCCTTGAACTTACAGAGATCCACCTGCCTCTGCCTCCCAAGTGCTAGGATTAAAGGCACGCACCACCACCCACTACCACCTGGCAAGTTTAATTTTTTAAAAAAATACTTATTGTGTGTGTGTGTGTGTTCGTGCATGTCACAGCTCCCCTGAAGAGGTTAGAAGATAACTTGCCACAGTTTTGTCCTTCCAGTATGTGGCTTCTGGGAGTTGAGCTCAAGTTATAATGATGTGGGAGCATTAATCCAATGAGCAATCACATTGGTTCTGACCTACTGGGTTTAATCACTGTTGCTCACAGGAGCAGGGTGGGGGTTACTTACTAATACCCATCAACCAATAAGCCTGCCTGGAAAGTGGGGCCTTATGAGTGGGGCTAGCTTTGAACTCCCCAAATTGCCTCCACCTCCTAAGTACTGGGATACATGCATATATCAAACACCTGGCCCTGGATCTTCAGGTAATTTGTTATTGGCATATTCAAGGAAGTGGCTAGTCAATTAGTTCTGTGTGCTTATACCATCAGAATATGGCTGTCCACATTAACACACAGGACTTAAAAGGATAAGAGGGGGGAAAAAAACCCAACAACAACTGCATTTGTTGAATATAGGCATAGAAAAAAAATACCTGTTACACGTGAAACAGACTTTGACCGGCAAGGGAACGAGACCATTATGATCTAACTCATGCTGTGTTCTTTTAACGTTCTTCCCCGTGGTTTCCTCCTTTCTTCTCCGTTTGCTAGAACCTAGAAAAGAAGCTGGTGGTGCTGAACTGCCCTTGGCTTCAAATTTCTTGTTGGAATATGAAAACATTAAGTGACAGGAACAGATCTAAGCAAAAGCATGTGCCATGGCTGGGATAGATTTCTTTCTGAGGACCCCAGGGCTAGTTTCAAGTGACAAAGCAGGAGTAAGAAAGAAGGGTGGGGGAGACGACGACACGGGATCACCACAACAGATACATGGCGACTAGAAGCAGAAGTTACCTGCTTTAAGGCAGAAACACACTGATCTTACCAATATGAAATAACCAGAAACCTGGGATAGTAGCAACCTATGTCCAAGTTACACAGTCAACAAAGACTAGTCTGTGAAGATAACTGAGCAATTTAATCATGTTTCTATAGAAACCAGAAAAGCAGGTCCATATGCAACCCTCCCTCCCAATTTGACACAGGTTCTCTCTCTGTAGTTCTGGCTGACTTGGAACTTGCTCTGTAGACAAAGCTGGCATAGAACTCAGATATTCATCTGCCTCTGCCTCCCAAGTGCTGGAATTAAAGTTATGCGCCAATAAGCATAGATATATGTGCCCTTTAAAATGAAATGTACATGTGTAAAGGTCAGAAGATAACTTTCCCCTACTTCCACTTTTATGTGGGTTCCAGGGATCAAACCCAGGCTTGCATGGCAAGTGCCTTCACTATCTCAGCTATCTTGCAAGTTGCCCGATAGGCATTTCCATCCATGCATGCATATTCCTCCTCCTTTCTCACATACAGTCTCTGCAGCCCTAGCTGGCCTCAACCTCACAGAGATCCATCTTCCTCCATCTTTTCATGCTGGGACAAGAGGAATGTGGCACATTTGGATCAAGTGTATTCTTTTTTTTGGTTTTTTGGAGACAGGGTTTCTTTGTGTTAACAGCTCTGGCTGTCCTGGTGCTCACTTTGTATACCAGGCTGATCTCAAACTCACAGATCCAGCTGTCTCTGACTCCCAAATGCTAGGATTAAAGGAGTGAACCGCCACTGCTAGGCTTCATGTGTGCTTTTTAAGCCTTCCAATTTTCTTGTTTTTGTATATGTCTGTATCTGAAGGCATGCGATTTCCTTTGATTGCAGTCTACTTTACACATTGAGGCAGCTCTTCTTCTGGAGCTCACCACTTTAGTTTGTCTGGACAGCAAGCTTATTCCACTTCAGCCTCCCACAATCTGATTACAGGAAGGCTGTCCTGCCCACCTGGCTGATGACATGGGTTCTGAAAATATGAACTCCAGTTCTCACATTTGCATGGCAAGTGCTTTATTCCCTGAGCCATCTTCCCATATTCCCTTTTGTTTTTTCAGACAGGGTCTCACTTTGTAGCCTAGGCTAGTGAAAAACTCACTACATAGCTTCTGCCTCAAACTGATGCTGGAATTACAGGCAATTAAGACACCATGCCTAGCCAATCTGACTGTTTTTTAGGGGGGGGGGGGGGGGGAAGAGATCTAGAAGTGTCATGGTATCAAATAGAAGCCATGACTTGGTTTTGTTAAAAGAGGAAATTTGACAATAGCTATCAAATCTACCATTGCCAACTGTGACCTAGCAATTCTAATAATATTAGGAGCTGGAGAGATAGCTCAATGGTTAAAGGGACTGGTTGCTCTTTTGAAGGACCCAAGTTCAATTCCCAGCATCAACATGGTGGTTCACAACTATCTCAAATTCCAGTTGCAGGGGATCTGATACCCTTTTCTAGGTTCTGTGGGCACCAGGCACACACATGGTGCACAAGACATATTTGCAGGCAAAAAGCCATATACATAAAAATAAATTAAAAAATGTTAGGAACAATTTAAATGGCAATGAACAGAAAACTGCTTAAATCAATTATAGTACATTTGTATAATGGACTATTATGGAGCCATAACAAAAACCTAATGAAATGCTACAGTAATGCTAAAACCACTGGACTGCATTATAAGAATAAAGAACAAACTGTAAAAGTTTGTACAGTATGCTATTTAAGAAGAAAGTACAGGCAGACATACATACTTACATACTCTTTCTCCCTCTCTCCCCAGAATGATAAATAAGAACCAACCAAAGAGCAGCTGTCTGCAAAGGGGAGGAGGAGATGCTGGGGATCAAATCCAAGACTTTGTGCATGGTAGCTCTACCACCCAACTATATTCCTAAACTTTGTTTCTTCATTCATTTATTTAGGAATTTAAAAGATTTGGGCCGAAGAGATGGCTCAGAGGTTAAGAGCATCGACTGTTCTTCCAGAGGTCCCGAGTTCAATTCCCAGCAACCGTATGGTGCCTCATAAGCATCTATAATAAGATCTGGTGTCCTCTTTTGGAGTGCAGGCACACATGCAGGCAGAATACTGTATGCATAATAAATAAATCTTAAAAAGGAATTTAAAAAATTTAATTCTGTGCATCATCTATCTGCATGTGGGTTTGTGCGCGTGCCTACAGAAGCCAGGTGTCAGATCCCAGAGGCTGGTGTTAGAGACAGCTGTGAGCTGCCTGATAAGGGCGCAGGGAAAGGAACTCAAGTCCAGTGGAAGAGGAGCAAGTACTTTTAACTGCAGAGTCATCTCTCTAGTCCCTCTTTTAACTAAGTTTTTTTAAAAAATTTATTCCTTTATGCACATGAATGTTTGCCCATCTGCATATATGTGCACCATGTGCACTCCTGGTGCCTGTAAAGGCCAGAAGAGGATATTGGACCCCTTGAAACTGGAGGTACTGATGGTCATGAGTCACAATGGGAACCAAACCTCAGGTCTCTGCAGAAGCAGTCTGTGCACTGAACCACTCAGCCATCTTCTTGAGCCTTCTTTATATGTTTTGAGACAGCCCAATATGTAGTTCAGGCTGGCCTCAAATTCACGATCCTCTTGCCTTACCCTCCCCCAAGTGATCAGATTATTACTATGTGTCACCCTACTTGGCTTATGTTAGGAAAAAAAAAAAAACTGTAGGGCAACAATAGGACAGGAGACAGAAGACTCAGAAAATAAAAAAACTGAGTAAGTACTATAACAACTAAAACCTTTGATGCTATCTCCAGGCAGAACGAGGAATAATAACAAAAGACAATGGCTATAGGCAGTAACCTTGCAGGCAGCACTGCTCTTTGGGCTAAATAATAACCCTCTGGAAAGCCAGGGTAAGAAAGGAGAGATGATGAGGATGATGATGTCGCTAACCTGGTAGTGCAGTGGTACAAGTCAGTTCATTGGGCAACTGAAATTGGGTAGGGTTCCGCTCCATGGCGGCAGCAATCAGCAGCTCAAAAGGCCGCCGCAGCTGAGGCTGCACATAGTCCGGCTCTGTTGCTACTGGCTCCTCATCCACGTCAATGATGTCCTCATCAACGTCGTTATGCTCAGAGGTGGGGGTCTCTGTGCTGGCGTTGGATGTGGGGGGTGCCAGGCCGGCTGGCTCTCCTTTCCAGGATCCGGGCATGGGCAATGGCCTTGAGTTCAGTTTTGCTAGCTGATCTGTCCAACAAGTCAGTGTCACTGCTGGGGGATGTAGTCCGTTTACTGGATTTGTCCACCAGTCCATTGACGTGGCCCAGCTCCTTTTTCTGCTCTCGTTTCTGCGCAAATGAATAGGTGGGCCCATCATGAAAAGAACAAATAGAGATGGGTATACAATGTCCTGCTAGACCACTTATGAAAATTACAAAGTCCCTTACACATCACAGAATCATCCACCTCAGGACCTGGGACAGCAGCCTATTAAAGTTGAGATATATATTTTAATTTTAATTGTGTGTATTAGTATTTTGCCTGCATATATACCTGTGTACCGTGCATGTGCCTGATGCCCATCAATGCCAGAAGAAGGCCTCAGATCACAGAAACTGGAGTTGAGAGCTACCACGTAGACGTTCCAGGTCCTCTGGAAGAACAGTCAGTACTCTATTGCTGAGCCATCACTCTAGCCCTAGATACAGCTATAATTGAACTAACTAAAATGGAGAAAACATGGCAGGAGTGAATTACAGAAAACAGTGTGGAAATTTTGGAATAACTAATTCACTGTATGATACTTAACACCTATATACATATGAAGCACAGGGCAAGCCGCTAACAAAATAAACACAGAACAAATTTAGTGAGATGATGGTAAGAACACTGTAATACAAAGGTCACTGTCACTTACTTGCCTGTGACAAGTGCATCCTGACCTACCAATACGTTTTGAAAATAGCTCAAAACAGAGAAAGTCTGAAAAGGTAAAACAGGCTGGGAAAGCTCACTTTTCAGGGGGATGGCACAGAAAGGTGCCACACAGAGAGAACCAGTGCAGAAACCAGGCACCCAAGAACCATGGCTTTCCATCTTAGCTAGAAACTCGGAAAGAAGGCATGAAATGCAAAAAGACTACAGTGAACTCAGTAGGAATGGAAAGTGGACAATGCAGCTTCCCAAGGCTCTAAAATCAACAAAGTGTCATATTAATCTCCATTTAGTTAGGTCCTGCCTAGGCAGCTCAGGAATTCCTCCATCTGCAAAGTGAAAGCACTGAATCTGTTCCCTCTGAGGATATGGTGGTGATAAAAGGACTGCATCTATAAAAGGCATGGGTGACCTTCCCCAGGAATCATAACAGGACTGACCATCACGAGTTCATGAGACCCAAAAGAAATCTACTTCAATCCATTTCACTATGAATACTGAGGTCAAAGGGGAGTGGTGGTGACGGTGGATAAGGCAGCTGTGGAACCCTTAGGTAGAGAGGTCTATGTGAAAGTGAGTCAGAGCAGCATCTCAGGAGGAATGCCCTATGCTAGGAAAAGAGCGTACTGTTCCTAGCAAGCAAAGGTTTCTAGAGAACAAGAGGTAACAGACCTTTAGAATGAGAGAAAAATTTGGTTCCAATCTTGGCTCTTTCAATTCCTGAGTCCTTGGGAAAATAATCTATATTTCATAGCCTCAGTCTGTTCTTTCCATAATTATGATCTACCACCAGCACTCTTCGATACTTGCATAGCTTAAGCGGAATAACAGTAAACACCTGGCGTACAATGGGCACTAGCAAGTTTTCACCTCTTTTCCTTGGCTGATCCCAACCCTTTAATGTCTAGCTTCTTTGCATAGTAAGTTTCTGAACAGATAGGGCATGCTCTATGAGATGCACAGGAAAGGGCTTTGGAAGCTAGGTAGCTCTTTCTGTTTCTGCAACTGAGGATGTCATCACTGACATCATGTAATGACCAAGAAAACAGCAGTGATGCCACAAGAAAATAAATTCTTTGGTTACACAATTAGTGTGGGAAGAAAGCAGGGTAACCTACAGACAAATCCTAATTATAGCCCGTAATGTAAAGGTGGGATCAAATATAATCTGGTGACACACACGTACTTCCTTTTTTGGGGGGCGGGGGGGAGATAAAGGAAAGTTTAGTTCTTGCTCTCTATAAAAAATTTCAAAGTAGCCAGGTGGTGGAGCACATAATCCCAGCACTCAGAAGGCAGAGGCAGGCAAATTTCTGTGAGTACAAGGCCAGCCTGGTCTACAGAGCGAGTTCCAGGACAGGCTCCAAACTACACAAAGAAATCCTGTCCTGAAAAACCAAATAGTAAATAAATAAATTAAATTAAAAGAAATTCAAAGTAGAAAACAATTAGCCATGCTCATAATTCAGTTAGCACTGACCTAGAGAAAAGGGAAACAAAGAGAAACAGACAACCAGGACAGAGGGGTTCAAAATCTACTCCTTTAATAAAACTGATCAAGCCTCTGGAGACCCCATGGAACTGAGAAGAAGCCTTCTTTTTTGGAGCCACAGATAAGGACACCATATTCAGGCTATTTCCTAAGAGATCAATAAGATCACACTAAGCCTGTCACTAGTGACTTAACATGGCTCACTGGATTAACATACCCCCTTCTGCCCTCTTTCACAGCCCACATCTGGAGTTTTAAGTCTCACAGTCAACATGGAGAGTGATTCCAGTGTTAGAAGGGACAAGAGGATGAAATGCCCTTAGGATCAAGCCCCTTAGCTCTGAAGGATCATTGCTCTAGGTCTGGCATTCTGAGTGGAGCCTTCAGAAAGCAGCATTATTACCTTTCGGCGAACAGTGCACCGGTGACACATCCACTCCCCAGGAGGCAACATCTCTTCACTCAGTGGAGGGTTACTGTGGGGAAAAGACAAGGGCAAGACTAAGTAACTAACCCTTGGATGCAGCTGAAAATAGATCTGGCACAAGCTGCATGTCCCTAACTACTGCTGTGGCCAGTTCTGGAGCCTTGCTAGAGCTCTCATGTCCTTCGAAATGCCTATTTAACAACGTATCATCATCTCAAGGGGGAAACTCCTTGTACAACTTAAAAAGAGAAGCCAAATCCACAGCTGTCGACCCTAGGTTTACAGGAAAAGGCATATAAGTACTAGTTGAGAGCCTGAAGAAGCATTCCCAAATTCTGTACTACGCCTTACTCAAAGTCTGAGTCTAAACCCAATCTCTTCTCTCCGTGGTTCAGAACCTTGTCACACAGTCCATTCTAACCTGACAGGCCTCCTCAGGTATCCATGCCCCCAGTGAACATTTGCCACTTCTTCTTTTGTGATACTCTCCTGCCAGTAAAGCTGTACCCCCACCCCCGCTAGCCATTCTTACAGCTTGCTCTAGGCTCCATGGCTTTGTTTGGTCTCGCATCCACAAGCAGTCCTTGTCTTGTGACTCGCTTTGACAAACAGAATGCAATACCATTGACATGTTGTAACTTTCAAGCCTGAGCCTTAAGCAATCTGTAGATTCCAACCTTTTATGTCTGGAATGTTCTGTCTCCGAGCTCTGCTAAGAGAGTCACATGGAGGAGGTCTGAGGTACTGCAATCAACAGCTTTAGTTGAACTCCAACAGGTCATACCAATTACTGCTATGAATCATCTTGGACATACCAGAGCAGATAAGTCTCCAAATAACTGTGGTCCTGGCCAACTACATGTACAACAGAAAACCACCAAGCTGACCCCAATTCAAGCCTCTACTAGTCTGTTTTGGGCCACTGCGTTTTGGTAGGTTACCAGACATGGCTTCTTCACCTGCATAGACTACTCACTCCCTGTTAAACAGTTGAGTTCCTTTTTCTCTGTGTGTGGGCATGTGCATGAAGTGTTTTGTCTGTGTGTATGTACGTGCACCACATAGTCGCCAGAAGAGGGTGCTGGAATTACAAGCAGTTCTGAGCCACCTGATATGAATTCTGGAAACCAAACTCAGGTCCCCTGAAAGAACAGGATGCTCTCTCAACTTCTCAACTTCAGAGCCATCTTTCTAGCCTGCCTCCTTGCATTTTTAATAAATGAAGCCTTAATTAAAAACCAGAGCTATATCAGGCATGACATATGCCCAGAATTTGGGAGGCTAAGGCAGTAAGATTGAGATTGATGCCAGCTTGAGCTACATAGTGATTTACAAGCTGGCCTAGCATGCATGAAACTCTACTTCAAAACAAAGCAAAACCCAAGCCAAACAAGCAAAGCTCAAAACCCAAGCTGTGTAGGGTTAGACCTCACAGACCTTTAGATCATTACTTCCATTAAAGTTACATGGAGATTTTATCAAATTCCCAGAAGAGTCACATTTATATTGCTAATACAACAGGTATCTTGTTCTAAAAGTATGATTCCCAGTTAAACAGCAACATCTAGAAATGCATTAGAATGTAAATTCTAGCCTGGGACCATCACTCAATTGGTAGAGTACTTGTCTAGCATGCATAAGTCAGTTGTGGGGTGCCCTTTAAATCCAGGCATGGTGGCTCACACCTATAATCCCAGCATTAAGGAGGCTGGGGACAGGAGGATCACTGTGAGTTTCATGTCAGCATGGACTACACAGTGAGACTGTCTCAACTCCACCCCACCCCAATAAACTGGGCCAACTCAGTCAGTAAAGGCACATGTTGCTACTGAGCCTGACTACCTGAGTTTGAGCCTCCCTCAGAACCTACATGTTGGAAGGAGAGCAAAGTCCTGCAAGCGATTCTTTGATTCTTTGGTATGTGGTCAGTCTGTCTCTTAGCGTTGGGTCTCTCTCTCTCTCTCTCTCTCTCTCTCTCTCTCTCTCTCTCTCTCACACACACACACACACACACACACACGTTACAATAAAAGGTGCCTTCAATGGTACCCTTCCTCATCTATCAGAACAGTGATTCTCAACCTGTGGGACATAACCCCTTTGTAGGTCACACCAAATATCCTGCATATTAGATATTTACATTATGATTCATAACAGCAGCAAAATTACAGTTATGAAGTAGCAATGAAAATAATTTCAGAGTTTGGGGTCACCACATTAAAGGATGCAGCATTAGGAAGGTTGAGAACTACTGCATCAGAATATAAACCTGGGTGGCATACACCTTTAATCCCAACACTAGGACGGTAGAGGCAGGAGGATCTCTGTGTGTTCGAGACCAGCATGGTCTACAGAGTGAGTTCTAGACAGCCAGGGCTACACAGAGAAACCCTGTCTCAAACTATTAAAAAAAGAAAGAAAAAACCCCGAAATAAATAAAAATTTCAAGCTCCTCACTACTATTAAGATCCCTATAGCCGGGCGATGGTGGCGCACGCCTTTAATCCCAGCACTCGGGAGGCAGAGGCAGGCGGATCTCTGTGAGTTCGAGGCCAGTCTGGTCTACAGAGCTAGTCCCAGGACAGGCTCCAAAGCTACAGAGAAACCCTGTCTCGAAAAACCAAAAAAAAAAAAAAGATCCCTATAGCCAGGACCTCATCTTTGTCTCCAGTTCCATCAGTCTGCTAGCTTACACAGCCTGTGCTGTTTCTTCTTGTCTCTATTCTTTTAGTGCCAAAAGCCACAACCACATAGGTCTTCTCCCAGTCCTTCAACCAGAATTCTATCGGATAAAGTGTTATTTCTACAAAGTTTTCTCTGAGAGCTCTGGTTCCTTACAGCACCTAAAAAGGGGTGGGGACATATACTGAAAGAATAAGCTTATATAGGAAGTGAGCCCAACCCCTCAAAAGTCAGGAGACCGGGTCATGCTGTTTGGTAGGCATTTGTTTTGGTGGTCAAATCACATAAAAATTATTCATGTTTTCTAAGTCACAAAACAGTGAGAAGATCTGGGCATCAAAGGCCACACTTGGAAACCATCTCACCCTCTACTTTTCTCATTTCTGCCATGCTGGATAGCAAATCCAGGGTCCCCATATGCTAGACGAGTAGCTCCTTGTTGGTTTTCAAAAGGCCACTTTTACAGCTACTAAGCTTAAGAACAACACACACTCAAATAATAAACAAATAAAAAAAAGAACGGTGTTTCCACTAGTTTAGTGTGCAACTCTGAAAACTAAATATGCATTCTGGTCTTTATGACTTGCCTGTTGGGAAAAACAAGGTTCTGCCCTACTCCAACTTCTGCACATTCAAATGAAGACGGTGGTGGAGGCCATCCTTCATAAAAGGAAACCACTGAAAGTTAAGTCAGATAATGCCGAGCTTATTCTACCAGTTTCCACTGTGCAGCAATGAGAACACTCTAACAACCAGTGCTGCCTAGACATCAATATGACTCCTAATCATCGAGGCCTAGAAATGGCAGAGTGATGACTTCATGCTATGTTTGGTTTAATACAGTTCACAAAGTGCTTTAGAAGATCTCTCTCTCCCTCCCTTCTCTCCGAGACAGAGTCTTACTATGTAGCCCTAGATGGCTACAAACTCAAATTCATCTGGTAAAGGCAAGCTACCACATATGGCTTCAGATGCTCTCATTTGATCTTCATTACAGCACTGGAATAATTTTTATTCTTTTGTTTTGTTTTTTCGAGACAGGGTTTCTCTGTAACTTTGGAGCCTACCCTAGAACTAGATCTTGTAGACCAGGCTGATCTCAAACTCACAGAGATTCGCCTGCCTCTGCCTCCCGAGTGCTGGGATTAAAGTCATGCGCAACCACTGCTAGACCCATAATTTTTATTCGTAATGTACAGATGAGTAACTGACACATCTGAAACTATGGAGCCGGCCTGTAGTAGAATTAGAACCTAAACCAGTGTCTTGGCTCTTAAATCTTGAAATGGAACTGTTTCCTTTTTTTTTTATATAAAGAATTATGTATGTGAACACTCTATCAACTTTATGACAGAGAGGGCATCAGATCCCACTAGAGATGTCTGTGAGCCACTATGTGGGTGCTGAGAATTGAACTCAGGACCTTGGAAGAGCAGCCAGTGCTCTTAACCGCTGAGCCATCTCTCCAGTCCGATCGTTTTCTTTTTTTAAGACACAGTCTCATGAAGTTTCACTACATGAATTTCAGGCTGGCTTTGTTCTCCAAGTAGCAAAGATGACTGAAATTCTTGATTCTCTCACCTTCACTTCCCAAGAGCTAAGATTACAGGAATAAACATCTAGCTTAAGACTAAGTGTTTTTTTGTTTTTTTAAACAGAGCTACCTCAAGTTTATTCATAAAAGGAGCCAGACATCTATGGATAGTGTGGAGGGTCATACCCGTCTGTCTACCTTCACATTGGCAGACAGACCCTTTTTATGGAGCATTCACAGTGGTCTGAACTGGAGCTGAGCTGAAGTGGGACCTGAACTGCAACTAGCTACAGTGGTGGCCTTGGTTTGGGCTTAGTCTTTGGTTGGCAGAGCCTGTGGCCCTTGGTTATATAGCCACAAATCTTTACAAACTTGGGTTGAGCAATGAAAACAAGTCAGCAGAGCTTGAGAGTGGCGCCCTCAAGCTGGGCTTAACCTCAGGCTTCACCAGGGCCTAGATGGTCTTAGCATGTGCATTGTTAGACCCATCTTCAGGCCCTTCTTGTGCTTCTTGGCAAACCAAGCTCTTTACAGATTCATAGCTTTGTGAGAGGAGTTTCTTGTGCCTCTTTTGAAACTGGTTGTGCATGGTGTGATTCTTGGACTTGGGCATAACTGCACAGTAACCCGAGTTCCTAAATGAAGTTCCTGGGACTGGAAGGACCAAGTTTTTTTTTTTTTTTTTTTTTTTTAAAGAACCTTTAGTACTCCTATTTCTGAGGATATAGTGGAATATCCTAATATAGAGTACCTGAACCTTCATGCTGAGTATTTTCCTCACTGTCAGTCAACACTCACTGATTCCTACTGTTTACTACAACACATCAAAAACA